GATCGAAATGATGCAGGAAAGTGCAATGTTGATGAGCACCATATGACCACATCATACATGGATCTGGCCCGATTTGGGGGTAGCAGAGGATGACGACAATCGCAGGTCTATGGGCAGAGTGTTATGGATATTTTAGAGAGAAGTCAGCGAGGCTTGGTTGGATTGAATAAAGACTCAAAAAAAAGGAAACTCAACGTGATGGTAATACTACAGCCAAGGACAAGCAGTAGGGCGGTTCTGATGGGCCTGGAGAGTCTCATGAAGCAGAGGTAAACCTTCCTAAGACGTTTGGCACGACGGAGGTGGTTCTCGTGTTCGAGATGATCGTGATGTGCGCGTAGTTTCCGCTGCTGGCGTTCCTCCCGCTCGGCCTCGTCCAATTCGGACTCGCCCGAGTCATCCCAATCGAAGTCATCATCGTCAGTCGAGCTGAATACCTCGGCCCCAACGCCGAGGATCTTCTGTCTGCTGTCCAGGTTTTGGCTCTTGGTCGTACGGGTTGATGTGGAGAGAGAAGTGTCGGCGAGTCCTAATGCTTTCTGGTATCTGTTGGTCAGCGATCGTGAGTCCTCTGCATATTCGCTAGAGTTGGATGAGGGAAGCTGAGTGGTTGAGCCATTTCGAGTGGCCGGCTGAAGCTGTTGATGAGAGGGATTCACGGGTGGAGGTTGCCTTGGAGGGTCATCCTCGAACGACACCCGAGAGGCTGTTGGTCGGAAGTCGTGTTCGTCTGAAGTGCGCATCTGGCTTGAATTCCTTTCGAGGTGGAAAATGTGTTTTTATTGCTGCTGGTAAAGGTGAAGGAAGACTCAGGCTGTATTCGGTTTTGTTTGGACGTCAGTCTTGGACCAATGCTCAAGATGGTAAATTTTATAATCAGTCGACTGACTGTAATGTATGTATCGCTAAGCAAATGGCAGGGCTTTGGCCAAGTTCAGCGTTTCGGCGTGGCGGAAGCGACAAGGAAGTGTACCAGGATCTAGACTGAGGGCGGAGCTAAACGAATGGAAAAGGGTACTCGATTGGTGGACTATGTGTTGGTGGGATCGATATCTGGAGTTGTAGAAGTGATCATTAAAGGAATGTGGTGCTGCTTCTCGTTTAGGCAGCCGCATGGACAACTTGAGCGCCGCATGCAGGTGATAATATCAGCACATGCTTCTCCAACGATTCAGCTTGCGACAGCTAAATTCCCAAGTCACTGATTAACTAGCACGGACGGCTGGATGTCCAAGAGACAAAGAAGAAGCCTCCAACATTGGAATTCACTTTCTGTCCGCAACCACAAGTCACACCTCTTACGCGTCTGCCCAAACACATCACCTCTCACACCCCCCTACTAACAGAAAGTTTCTCTTCTCTTCTTTCCCCCTCTAGGTAGCCATGCTGCCTCCCCCTCGACCCCCCGACCCCAACAGATCCGCCTACGCGTCAATCATGGACGATTCGGCGATGATTGAGGATACTGAAAATCCCTCCCCCCAGAGGCCAACCACCGACCCCCCTTCCTCTGGCTTGCACATCCTCCTCCGTAAGCTTTTGGGTGAGGACGCCCGACGCGACGCGTCCGGAGCCGTTTCCTTGGATGCCCAGTTTGTTCAGATGATCCTGGAGCTCTCAGCCACCAACGAACGAATGATCCTCCGATTGGAAAACACGATCGATCAGTTGAACGCGAAACTTGACCCGTTGATCGTCCAGATGGCCGAATTCCAGAAGTTCATGCAATCCGGAAAGCCCACTGCCCCTCAAGCAAAGAAATCCTTTGCGTCGGTCGCGTCTATCAATCACCCAACTGTCGTGAACGCCCCAACCACGCGTCCCCCCCCTGCTCAGGCCCTTGCCTCCTTGAAGCCAAAGAGGGTAATCATCCACTCGAACCCGGCCAATACCACCCTCAAAGATGTCCCTCGTTGCGCTCTCGTCCAAAAGGCCAACGATGCCCTCCTCAAGCTTGAGGCCAGGGTCGATGGCGAGAATGTTGCCGTACGCGGAGTGAGCATGCTCCCCTCTGGGGATGTCTCCTTCTACACCAAGAACCGATTCCACCAAAAATGGCTCATGGAGAACAAGCACCTCTGGTCGAAGGAGGTTCACATTGACCTGGAATCCACCCCCAGCACCTTCTCAGTCATGGCTCACGGGGTGCCTAAAACCTTTGATATTGGTAAAGCAGCAAACATCTCCCAACTCGCCTCCGAGAACAACTTCCAAGCAACGGATCTAGCTCGAGTACGCTGGATGGGTTCCAACGAGCCCTCCGCCAAGAAGGCAGGTTCGATTATCCTCTCATTCACAAACAAGGATCTGGCGTTCCGGGTGGAAAAGTCAGGTTTGTTCCTGAATTATGATTATCACCGCACTGAACGCTTCAAACCTCGTCCACCCCAATGCTTCAAGTGCCTACGTATGGGACACTTTGGCAAATGGTGCCGGGAGAAGGCCAAATGTGCCAAGTGTGCCAGCAATCATACCACCAACGAATGCCCAGAGGGCCTTGGGAACGTAAAGTCCTGTGTCTTGTGCAAAGACGGCCTCAAGAACAAAATAGATGGTGTCAGTGACATCAATCACACTCCGTTTGACAAGCTTTGCCCTTTCAAGAAGGCTTGGTTTGAGAAGCGCCGAATGACACCCCTATGATATATAGGCCCATCGCAACCCCCGATCACATTCCATCTCCACAACCCACAGATTCAAATACTAATCTATCTCCCTTGTATCAGGACATTATTGCCACCTCTTCATTTCAACCTATAAATACTAACAATCTTTCTATTTTCCAGCTTAATTGTCATGTTTCCAAATCCGTCACTCTCAGTGTACTGAACACTGCTCTCCACTTTGATATTCTCATCCTCCAGGAGCCGTGGGTAAACCCCTTTGACTTCTCCCCACCCTCTCATTCCTCCTGGCGCTCAATCACGGCCTTCGAACACTCACCCTGCAGCTGGAACCAGCGGCACAAGGCCATCACATACATTAGGAGCGATATTCCCTCTACAGCCTACAGGGTACTTGGGGGGGGATCTCAACTGCTTGTTGGGATTGAGCTACTGCTACCCTCCTGCAAACCTTTAAGTATCATAAACCTCTATAACCCTCCGTCGTCCTTCCCGGGTGCTGCTGAACTGAAAAACTGGCTTCAATCTCATTATTCCCGACAGTCCCCGATGATCTTGTGTATGGATGCTAATTTACACCACCCACATTGGAACCCTCCGGGCTGCAGGAAAAGAGAACCAGAGGCCATTGACCTGCTAAGTTCTCTATCCTGTTTCGGTTTCCGTCTTGCCTCACCCAAACACACCCCCACTTTCTTCTCCGCCAAGGGCAGAGGCTCAACAATTGATCTAATCTGGGCCAATTTTTTAGGATCCAAAACAATCAAGTCAATTCATGTCTCCCAACGACAATCTTGGATCGGATCATCAGGCACTTGTTACCCATCTCACCCTCCATAGGCCCGAACCAGCATACCACTGGCAACTCCCTAAGTGGTCCAAGGGGAACTCGCCAAGGGAACCAAAATTAGATGAGTCCCGCCTTGCTGATTTTTACTCCGCCCCAGACGTGAACAGCAAGGTCCAGATTTTGACATCCGTGGTAAAGTCTACCCAGGAATCGCTAGGTCGTAAGGTCCGGACAAACAAGGCTAAATCAAAAGTGTGGTGGTGCAAGCGTACTCTTGATCCGGTGGTCAAGACTCGCAATCGAGCCAGACGGTGGATGATTCTAGCTAAGTCATCTGAAGCTATAGAATGTTATAAGCAGTGGAATGATTATTTTCTCTCACTGGTGCACGACCTTAAACAGAAAGCATGGCGCAAACTGTTGGAAAGTCCAACCGAGGCTGATCTTTATAGGGTTCTCCGTTTCTCGACCCGGCCGACGGGTGGCGGCATCCTACCCTTGAAGGACCAAGACGGGCGCCTCGCGCATGACAAACAAGATCAGGCCAGGCTACTTTTTGATGGCACCTCTGTCACAAACGTTCCTATTGATCTATCAGACGTCTCTTTTGACCTGTCCTGCAGATTCGCTAGTTATCCTGAGGTCTCGGTGTCGGAAGTCAGAGGCGCGATTGATAAGATTCGTCCCAAGAAAGCTGTGGGAATTGACGGGATCGCAAACGAGATGATTAAGTCTCTCGCTGCCCCCCTAGTCCCTGTTCTAACTTCTCTGTACAATGATTTACTTACCTCCAGCACCTTTCCTGTAGTGTGGAAGTGTGCGGTAACAGCAATCATCAGGAAGCACGGTAAACCGGATTATACTAATCCTTCGGCCTATCGACCCATCGCCTTGCTCAGCACAATGGGGAAACTCTTTGAACTCCTGATTGCCCGCCGATTGACTGCCTGGGCTGAGGAGTCTAACGTCCTGGCGGCCGGCCATTTTGGCGGCAGAAAGGGCTCAGGCACAGAGGACGCTATCTTCGCATTCGAGCATTGGGTGCGAGCTAAATGGAGGGAGGGGAAGACTGTAGCCGGTCTCTTCTTGGATGTTAAGTCCGCCTATCCTTCTGTTCACCCGGAAAGGCTAATCTACTACCTATTCCAACAGAAGTGCCCCACATATTTGGTACTGATAATAGCAGATTTCTTGAAAAACCGGTCAACCAAAATTCGACTGGATGATTTCATGTCGGAGGCCTTTGATGTTAAGATTGGGCTCCCACAGGGTTCCCCACTTTCTGTTATTCTATACATTCTGTACAATAACTCGTTACTGAAGCATCACTTCTCTACTTCCGAGGATATTGTATCCATCGGATACATAGATGACGTAGTTCACCTCGTGGCATCAAGCTCTTCAACAGAAACTCGTGATAACCTGATCAAAGAAGGCGCCCGCTCCCTGGAATGGGGCAAGACCCATGGGGCCATCTTCGACCAAGCCAAGGCTCAATTTTTATGGCTCACCAAAGGAAAGACACCTGAAGGCACCCTTGCCTTCGGGAATCAGAATTTGAAGGCAGCCACCGAGGTCAAGTGGCTGGGAGTCTGGCTTGATTCCAAGTTGCTCTTCAACAGGAATTTCCGGGCTTTAGAGGAAAAAATCACTCGGACCATTGCACAACTCAGGATCTTTGGCAACTCTCGCCATGGAACTAAGGAAAGTAGTCGCGTGAAACTAATCAACAGCGTTTTAATTCCCAGGATATCTTATGGTGCAGCCATCTGGGCCACAGAGGCGAATAAAGGGAAGGTTGTCGCCCTTGCCACCAAGGCGGACAGGGCAGCCGGGATCTTCACCTTAGGGGTTTTCAAAACCACCGCTACGGATTTCATACGGGCTAGATCACAAGTGCCCAGCGTCTTTGATTCCATCATCAGGACCAGTTTCTCCTTTTTCTATAGGAAGATAATAATGATCAAAGCTAATAATGTTGTTAGGAATCTTGTTTTGTCTAGTCGATCGAGCTCTTCCTACAAAACCGCAGATGCTGCCTGTTCTAGTCTGGCGAGGAAGCAGGGTGGACAGAAGCCGCTTGTCTTGAAACCCGAATTGATCAATCT